GGAAACAAATTTGGTGAGCCTGTTTCCAGGCTAATTTTGATTATGCAGAATAAGCGAAGCGTGAAACAGACCCTCAAAATTAAGCAATGGTACAAGTCTGTTGCCGTTGAAAACACTAGACTTCTACAAACTATGACTTGATATTTCCAAGCAAAGATACAGTACTCTCTTTGTTTGCGGCAGTCAGACAGACATATCGCGAAAAGGCAAAGTAAATCAAACCAAAACAATCTCGACAACAGCAAAACAAGAGCAAGGTTGTAAGACTGAAATTTCTCACCATATTAGGCATAGCAGACTGTGGTCCAGTTCATCTTCTGAGCCTTCCAATTCTTCTCCATTTCTAACAATTTTAGCAATCTCGCAGTTATTTGACTTTGCCAGATGATTGATTCAGAAGAACCATGAAACTCTGGTAGCAATTAAACGTCTTGGACCACCTAATCCTGTTTTTACTTCTCTTGTTAGCTGTTAAATGTATATACATTATTACACTGTACATACAATAGCCTCCACTTGATTCAAAAATGTTCTTAGATATTTGTCTGTGGACATAAATGTGAACATTCCAAGAGGCAAAAGTTTTTGCGAGAGCTTATCTCTTGGAAAACTGTTCAGGCATGCTTTTAAACTTAAATGTAATTAATTGACGTCATTCGCCTACTGTTTATCTTTCGTGGCATTGCACAGATCTTGTGCTGTGGAAATTGACTCTTGCAGTCTCTCATCTTCTAAGTTGGACTCTAAAATTGTTTATATCATATCTGAGTTGGCTGCATGCATTTGATTGAGCTGAACACATGCAATTGAGCAATCCAGTTTTAACAGCAGTTACTCAACAGTGTAGTGTGTACATGTACAGATCATTTCCCTGAGCTGCCAGAGAGTGATTTAAATATGAAAACAAACTTTTTGATCAAATGAATTAAAATAATTATTCACTTGGTTATTGCAAAATATCATGATTAGATATCATGATCAAATGAATTATTTTCTGAACCCAAATTGCGTGTAATAATTTTTATTTATTGATAATTTGACATCAATAATTTATTAACATCAGTTGATCAATCAAGCAAATGTTTGGGAAGGGGTAAAACAAGTAAATTTCATAACATCCTCAAGATAATTTCTCATTTTAATACAGAATTATTTACTTACAAATAAAAATTTCCACACATAGTGGCATGTTTCTGCTGTGGCATGGTGCCAGTACCAGAACACAGGATTTAGGGTTCTTCAAACCATATTTCACTTTCACTGCAAGTAGAAAGTCTTGTAAGTTAGACATAATTACAAAATAATGCAATTAGAATTTTGAAATAGTTTATACAGCACTTCTTTGTCAACCTTCTTTTCTAAAAGCTACAGTACTGTAACAACAAAACAAACATGCTAACAATAGCCTTTATCCTTATCTTATTTATGTGAAGGAGGCAACCATACATACCTTTTATCTGCATGTCTGCTTTTGTGTTGTGAGATCCACAAATAGCAATTTTTTTGGTTAGCTACATTGTTCAACAGACTGAAAGTAAACAAAATAAACTTGGGTGATTGAACAATGGAGTCACACTTAATTACGCTGTTACATGTTCTCGATCACAGTGAATTAATCAGTCTTTCCATTTTAAAGTAGATTACTTGTACTCTTCGTGAGAGAAATCTCACCTGACAAATTTTCTCTTGCATGGAAGAGGACAATTTAAGGGCAAAAGCACTGCCAGCATGACCTTTGAGTCCTCTGTACCTTGCCATGTGAACTAAAAACAAAACAGGAAAACTGTAAAACTGAATAGTTTCTCTCCATTGTTTTATCTCATTAGTGGTAAGATGGAAATCAAATTTATACACACAATAGCAAATTTCAAAATCACTACCTCTTCAAATGTGTTAGGAATGGAAGAGTTGCATCTTGTCCTCCCTCTTCCAAGCGCTCTATGCATTTAAGGACTTCAGAAGTCCAAGAAACAGTCTCATCTGCAAAAAAGTGCAATTTTTAAAAAAGAAAACAGAATAGTGATGAGTAGAATTATAAAAACTTATATGCGGGTTTGAAGGCTTAGGTTTGACAACATTCACACTTGCAGCTAGATGATGCATGCCTAAATTTGTTATTGGTTCTTATTTTTGGACTGGTGTTTACATGTGCTGTAACTGTCTAGTGACTTCTAAGCATACCTGTGACAACTCCTGCAGTGGATAGGTCGTCATATTCATCTGAAATGTCAGTTAATACAAAACGTATTAAGTAAAGTACATCTGGACCCATTGTGGTCCCCGCAATAATATAACATCCATACACTTGTCATTATACTACACCAACATATATATAAATAGAAACAAGTATGTCTGCCATTTCTTTATGTCTACATTGTAATAGTGCATGCTTCATAGACACCCTTGCTAGGCAATATCTAACATTTTCTTGCAGAACCATACTGAGTTTGACATAATAAAAAAATACTTAACTGTAGGTGTCTGCTTAGTCACTCTAAGCTTACCGCTCACCATCAGCATGATCATCCTCTGAGTCAGTTGTGTGGCTGGGGGTGCTGTGGACATGCATGATAATGTAGATGTTCAATTGCAGGTATCCAGTCTGAACCACCTCAGATCTGGTACCTGATTAGCTACCCACTACATAGGCCTGTCAATTGTCAAATTAATGAGATCTCTATCTCTTGTCTCTGTACTGTTTAGTGACACTGAAGTTTTCACTACAATTAGTTTATCTCAAACTTTTTGTAACCAAAACTATTAATTGGCAAGTGGACCGTGTGAAATACAATTCAGATAGTAATTATTACCAACACTGCCGATTATGAAATTACGTTTGAACCTCCTGTAAGCGACCACCCAAAATTTCAAGCCTAGGCGGTTGCTTACAGGAGGTGGTCGCTTATGAGAGTTCAGCCTATACTGGGTCAAAATTTGGTCTCAGTATATGAAAACTGCAGAGACTTTGGCCCATGTGTTAAATGTCTTATGCATGTGAAAAGTCAATTTCAAGAAAAAATTGGGTACTTGTACTATCCAGGAATCCCACCAGGAATTCGATAATGTTACAACACATTATCCGATTTCGACTTGTATTCGTAAGAGTGTCAAAAGCAATGTTTCCCGACCAGATGATCAGCCAATCAACCAACTAAGCAAGTCTGTTGTTTATTCCTAAATTAGTTGTTTTAGTGGCATGTAGAAAAGAACGTGCAATGTTTTTTTAATACTTTTCTACTCTTAGTTTTTTTTAAGGAACCACTCCAATTAGTGTGCTGCAGATAAAATCTGTGAGATTCTCTTCACTATTTAACGTTAATGAATACATGAAAAGATAATACAAAATGAGGCATGAGAATTAAATCGGCAGGTATCTCTTGCCAAGCTTTGTGGATCCACTGTAAAGCAAGTTCCTTACTCGGTGCCCACTTTTTCCCCGAGGGAGTGTAAGTAAACGGACCGTTCACCATCCAAGCCTGATATTGGGAGCGTACCTTGTTCTTAAACGGCTTGTTAATACATTTGTCAAGGGGCTGCAATATGGGTGTAAGTCCGCCAGAGATGACAGCGACGTCGACATTTCGCCTGGCTAGATCTTTTACGGCCTCTGTCAAGTGACCACGAAACGAATCCCAGACGAGTAGAGCTTTATGGTCTGCAATGTAGCGAAGATTGCGTCTAATCCACTCCTTTATTCCTATGAACTAAAAAAGAATAGTGCCTTTAGAGACCTTTAGAACACTAACCGACTTCAAGAGAAAAGCAAACAAACAGAAATTTGCATGTGCTTAACAGCACGTGCTCAGTAACATGATATATATGACAACAATACAATCATTCAAACCTCATTTGAGAATCATGTTTGTTGCTTGCTCAAGAAGTTTCTTCTCTGAGTAAACAATGTGGAGATAAAACACACCTTCCTCGTCCATCCAGCCTTTCTTGTACACTGAAATTTGCATCCTTGGTGGTGTGTTGATATTCAGCTGTCAAACACCTTTGAATATGACTTTTGGGGGAAGTTTTTCGCCATTCGCTTTCACTGCCAGAGCAACCGTAAAACTTTGCTTGTCGGTGCCACATGACAACACTGGGATTGTTCTGCTCCCGGTAAACTCCAAGGTTCTGGTGGTCAGCAGCTCAAACCACATTGGTGTTTCATCCATATTGAGGATACAACTTAAATTGTACCCCCAGCGCTGGCAAGATCTTAGGACAAATTGATGAAACTCGACGACCTTGTCTTCCATGTCAGCCGGGAGACGCTGAGCAAGACTGGTGTTCCTTCTCATGGAGATGGAGTGACAACGCTTCCAGTTGGAGTACCAGCCAAGGGACGCTCTAAACTCGGGGTCGGCGCTGAGTTCTTTGGCCTTCACTCGAAGCATCATGCCGTTGTCTGACAGACCTGTGTAACAACAAAAACAAATATCAGTCTAGTGATCTAAAACCAATCAATGAATGTAAACATCGAAGTGATCGCGGTTCTGACACGTTTATAACAATTCACCAGTATAAATCCAGGTTAAATGCTACACGAAACAAAAAAGATAACAAAACAATGCTTACCTCGAGTTCATTGATCGCTGAACCAGTCAGCTAACTTTTGATTCAACTCGGGATCCTTCGGTTGTTAGCGTCCCATTTCACGATTGTTAGTGACTGCCTCGGCTTCTGCAATGATTTTCAACTTGAAGTTGAGGTCATATGAGTGACAGCGAGTGCTCGGCATATTGACGATTGAACAAGAAGTTGAAGTTGAACTCTGACTGTTTACAATGCGAATGTATCAGTAAGTATTGCAACTGAGTTTTAAATCAGGTGATTGATGTTTTTATAAGACAAAATCGGATCATTGAATATTTATCAAGTACTTTTGTCAACAGATGCATGTTTCCTAAGCAGGAAGGTTCAAATAAACGTGTATGCATTTTATGTGTATCGTTACAGGTGTCAACTTTTAGCTTTTGTTTTTACGTATATCATTAATTTGGTTCGCATGCCAATTGCCCAATTTCAAACCGTGAGAGACTGGCACTAATTTAATTTTATCCGGACGGAAGTGGCCTTTTGGCTTTTCTTTCGTGACCTTATGACTTGCCTTTTCTCGACAACATGGAAAGCAAATCAAGTAAAAAGACCGCGAAAAAGGAAAGCCAGCCCGAAATTTCCCTTGGAGAAGTTAAAACGAAGGTTATTTCCAAGGATCCATCGAAGTGGAGCGTAGAATGCCTTCAGAAGTGCTTACTTAAACTTGAGCAAAGTGTGTCTGGATCGAAGGAACTCTTGGTCAAGAGAATCGTTAACCTAAAAAAAACCCACTGATCTTGGATAAGATTATATTAAGGAGAAAGAAATCCTTCAAGTTCAAATCACGGCTCTTAGTACGCAACATTCCGCCACCAGAAGCAACCTGGACATCAGATTCAAGTCATTATCCAAAGGTAATTCATTTTTGTTTTGTTTTGTTTTTTTTTTCACTTTTAATGTTTGCGTGAACAAATGAGTCTTACCTGTTTCTTATTTTGATTTTTTTTTTCTAACCAAGAATTCCCATTGAAAATAAACTGTTGTAAGTTCTATTTAGACTGGTAATTTGCGAGCTGGGACTCAATGAAGTTTATTTTAAGTATAGCTGTTCAATGTATAATGGGTAGAATTTTTGTTTTAGGTTACAGGTGCCATGATCAAAAATTATCAAGCTCTCAAGCGCCAAGGTAGCCTAGGTCAGTACCGGAAAGCTCTCCGCATGTTCAACAGCAGGAAAGTTAAAACCGTTAAAGTCTGCAAAGAAGGAAGTTCTATTTTCGTAAAAGCACATATATTTAAAAGTTTTACACCTACAAACAATGGAGTAACAAGACCTGCAGTTGTTCTGTTCCAGGATGGTACACCTATTAAGGGCCACTGTGAATGTGCAGTGGGACTTTCAGGGTTATGCTGTCATGTTGTTTGCTTACTGATATATCTGCAACATTACACCAGCCATGGAGTTAAATTTCTTGCTCTTACTTGCACTCAGAAAATTCAAAAGTGGCACAGAAAGGGTGTAACAAAGCAAACTGAGCTGTGTCATGTACCTCTGTCCCAACTCCGAAATGTGCGATCATCCAGAAAGACACTGGACAGTTCACGCCCAAAAAGAAAGTTGAATGTTTCAAATGACCAAGCCTTGTCAGATGAGTCATTGGAGAAAAATGATTGGTCGAAACGTGATATCGATGGAATGGTATCTAGAATCAGAAATGGGATTCAAGAAACTAAGGTTAACATTGAGAGCCATATCTATGACCAGCTAAAGAAATATGATGTGAAATCTGGGCTTTTTGAGCAGCTGCATTACAATTATAATTACAGATTAAAACAAGCCCTTCAAGATCACAACTATGCAAAGGACTGCTTTCATGATGAGCAAGTGCTAAAGCCAAGATTTTCTGCGAATGATTGTGATGTTTGGCATGCACCTTTGCTATTGACTGATAACATTGTTGAAGATCCAAACACTGAAGATGATCAGCTTGTCACAGGAATGTTAGCCCCAGCTGAGGATCAACATGCCCCTGGTGCTTCAGTGGCAAAGAATCAAACTATGTATGAACATGAAACAGTACATTTGTATGTTAAGCAGTTAGAAGGTATTGTTGAGGCTGCTAAGGGTAATCTTGTTAGTGAGGGGGACAAAAATACCAAAGTTCTGTCCATATCAGTTCCTCCCTTGAAACCAGTTTATGCATTTGGCTTTAATTACCATGAAGTCAAACAAAATACCCAAGAATGGTTTCATCTCCGTATTGGAAAAGTAACCTGCAGTATAATAGGTAATCTGATTGGACTTGCTGGAGAGAAAGAGCACTTGCATTATTTATTATGTGTCAAAAACAAAATAGATCCTAATAAAGTTAACCCAAAGAAATTTGCTAGTTTTACCAGAGGTAGACAGTTTGAGGGTGAAGCTGTTGAAGCTTTTGTAACAGCAACAAAACTGCCAGTCACTTCATGTGGTTTTTTTGCCCACCCAAGTGATATTAACTATGGGGGAAGCCCAGATGGTGTTGGCCTGGGTTTTTTATTGGAAGTTAAAACAAGGGTGGCAGGGAGTGAGGGACCTCTCATCGCTATAACAGCTAACCATCTTCTCCAGACAAATTACCAGATGGCAATCACTGGAGCAACTATTGTGTTTTTGCAATCCTATCATCCTGAAACAAAAAGCTTCAATCTATTTTTAATACAGAAAAACAACTTGCTTCTCACTGTTACAAAAACCATCATTGATCACATGATCACTGAAAGTATTATCTGTGAATGGCCTCATGAAGAGAACAAACTCCTTAAAAAGCTGGGTGAGCTGAATGTTGGCAGGGTGCCAACCTTTCAAAGCACAAAACCATTGAGATCATGGGTAAAAGAAGAAGCCAAAAAAGTAATGAAAATCGACATAAACTCTTCAGATTAATAATCTCAAATTTGTCTTAAAAATAGCTGTGAAGGACATAAGCAAGCTGACAGAGATTATTGTTGGGTTACAAACATGAGCTCTTATTTGTTCTCTGACCATCTGCAGCTCATTTGCATTATGCTACAAATATAGTACTTGTACAAAATGTTAATTTAGAAATCAAATATTAAAACTGTAAAGTGTTTTCTGTTTATGAAGATAGCATGTCTTGTAACAATGCCTGTTAGCAGGATATCGAGTTGTATTTAAATGTCATTTTACTGCACTTTGCTGTCTTGTGTTTCCTTGGGACCAACAGGTTTCTTAGTCAAGTTAACAATGTGTGCCAGTGCAATCCAACAAATTCCAAGAAGGTCAACTCTCCCTGAAGGCCAGCATTTGTTCAAGATTGACCAGTCACGAATTCTGCCAATTGCATTTTCATTATAAATGCGAAGGGTTGCAATATCAAAATTTAGATTTATGTCATTTTCATCATACTGACAATTGTTCTTCAATGGTGGCCTGTTGTGATGTACTCCCATTTCATGACATAAATCACTAATTGCAAAGCCCTTATCAGTCATAACCACCTTTCCCTTAGGACAGTAGTCTATAACTCCAAGTTGTTCAGTGAGTTGTTCATCTGAGATTGACCCAGGAAAAGCATCAGAGCATTTGCATAAAGCACCATGAGGAAAAATCCACACAGATACTTTACCAGTTGTGTGATTTTTGTAATGGCTGAAGGTGAGGTTATTCAACTCAAAATTCTCCGATTGAGCAATCCAGGTCTCTGTGTTGTCCCCAAGAATTCCACAGTCAGCATACCCTGCATCAACAAAAACTCTAGGGAGGAAAGCTTCTATAAAGCCAGGCAATGGCTTCAGATTAACTTCGTCTAGCACACAGCGAAGGAAAACCATCCAAGCAACAAACACTCTTGAAATAGTTGAGGAACTTCCACCTACTAACTTGGCCATAATGACTAGATCCACTGCATGTCTTGCCACAGTCAGTGTGACAAGGAGTTCTGTTCTGTTGTCAAGAAGTTTATTATGTGAATCTAATTTTTCCAAAGTTTGAACACAGTCAGGATACAAAATCAGATGTAAGAAAGGAATCACACATGCAAAAAGACAGTCAAATTCATTCACAGTGAGTCCACACATGTCAAAGAATTCCTTTTCCCTGTTCTTCAAGCAGTCATAGGTGAATCTTCTCTTATTAAGGTCGAATTTCATTTCTTTTATTTTCTTTTCGAAAGAATCTATCTCAAACTTCATTTTGTCTTGTAAGGCTATCATTTCCGTTTGAAGCTTTCTTAGCTCTTGTTGCAATTTGTCAATACAACTATTTTTCTGCTCGAGTTCTTTAGTTAAACTCTCAACCTGGCATTTTAAGCTGGAATTCTCAGCTTCCAGTTTCTCTGATAAAATTTTCCTTTTCTTAACAGGGCGTGAAGGAAGCGGCGTCCTACTTGCAGGGGCTTTCCTCGGAGTACTCCTCACGGTATTGGCATTCGACGAAGCAAGAACCGTTTTTGTACAGTCAATCTTCCTTTTCAATTCCCTAGATGGTTTTTGGGAGTACTCTTTTTCCAGATTAGCAGCATATTCTTTTGTACAAATTATGTCTGGCAATTGATTCTTGTTCTCTCGTTTCCCCGAGCTCCAGTGAGCGCTACATATAACATGTTTTCTCCAGTTAATATTTTCGTTCATAAGAACTTTCCTATATCCTTTTTGAAGCTCAGGATCGCTGGGCAAAGTGTAGTACGTTATTCCTTTAGTTCTGTAATTATTCGTACACAAAGAACTGGCACAATTCCAATGCCAAGTTTTCGTGTAAGTCGCCATCTCTACGCCATCAAACTGAAGTGCACTTCCGTCCGGCAAAACTGATAACTTGTGCGAGGCTCCTACGGTATGAAATCAGGCAATTGCGAAAGGATAATTGTTTTCAGATTCATCACATCCTTTTGTTAACTCTCAACTTTTTGGTGCATCTTATAGCCGATTATTTTCACATAATTTTCAGTTTGAGAACTTAGCTTGATTAAATTGCTAAGTTTGGGGTGCGTCTTGTAACCAAGTGCGCCTTATAACCTAATTGTATTATATAGCGTATTTAATTCTTAGGATTTTAACTTTTAGGATTTAGGATTTTTGGTTTTTGAAGGATTAGGATTTTAATTTTAGGATTTTAATTTTAAAGTATTGTAAAGTGCCATGGACAATTAATGGAAAATGGTGCTATATAAATGTATATTTATTTATTGATTTATTTATATTTATTTATAACCGAATGGCTACAGTAGATATTGTAAATTAGTCATATTTATAGGTTGTACATTGTGACTTTCCAGAAGTGAAGCCACGTGTAGATTAGGGCTTAACAGGAGCTTGAAACACTCAAATGCACAGTGTAATTCCAAAGAAACCAGGTGACAGTAAAATCAGTCGTTAGCGTTTATTGGAAGGAGCGATGAATCAACAATATAGGAATCAGGATAACAAAATAGGGATGTACTTGTGATGTGAAGTTGTTGTGGTTGTGATTGTGTGGTTCGAACTAAAAACAAAATGATACAAAAGGCTTATGTAAGCTAATACTAGCTAAGATACAAAACATAAATCAAGGATACCGATGGAACATAAATCTTAAACTATAACGACATGATTAAGACTAAAGATGTGCAGACTTACTTTGATCTTGCTCCTGCGAGTGTAGCAATTGTAGAAACAATAGCTTAGAACGATAGCAATGACAGTGATAGCATAAAACAATAGCGAGAACGTAGATGGCGTAACTACACTGATAAAATGTGGTGTCTCTTATTGCATGATTCTAAAGGTTATATTACGAAACTTGCATTGATCACAGCAATCACAGCATGAATAGCAAAAACTTAAAAACTATACATAATCGTTAATAAGTAATAGTTATGTAAGCAAAACAAAGAAGAAAACGAGTTACAAAAGTAACATACATAGTGATTTTAATTGGGGTTATTGCAGGCCTATCTTTCCCCCTCTTATGCTTAGCTACTAGCATAACCTTACACTGATCTTTCATCTTCCCTCTTCGGTACTCCTCCATAGTCGCATTATTTAGGGTGCCAGGGCGAGTTCCAGTGCCTAAGGAGAAGCGCATTAACATGAAGTCCCTGACTAAGATAAACTCTGAGTTGCTCAGGTCCTTTCCCTAACCCACTTGGACGAGTAACTTGGTGGCCCGGTTGTATGTAAAGCTGCTTTTGATCTTTTCCAGCTCTTCCAGGGTCAAAAGTCCCTTGGTTTCATCCATCGTCTTTGTGTTCTTTACATGAAATGATTGGCTATCAACACAGGAATGCCATCCTTTCATATCTTTTAAGACGATGTTAAAATTCTGGATGTGACTAGGATGAAGAGGCGGCACAGCCTTTTTGAGGCGCTTGTGTGTCACAAAACCAAGGAACTTTTCATAAATTGCAAGGTAGGAGATCAGTATGCCAGGCTTCTTGGCGACAGCAGTCAGGTGTGGCTTGACCCATCTGCACCAGACAGCATCTCCCGCATCTCCCAACAGGCACAAGATATCATCGCCATGAGGGTCAAAGGCCTGAAGTAGGGCAAGTATCTGGGTGGTGTGCTGAAGACAGACCGTGTGCTTTTTGTTGCCGGCCGAGGGACGCACAAGGTAATCATAAAACATAACAAGCCACCTGTGCTTGTTGGTTTCAGGATTTTTGGCATTGAAGTACTGCCCTGAGCTCAAATTGCATGGTTCTTCTTCCAAGTCCTCCTCTTTGTCCATGGGTGGGGCAGTGGATTCACACTCGGAAGATTCCTTACTATCTGTGAATTTAGTACGTGATCAGCGAGTGTAAGAGACAGTTTCAGAGCTGGATGCAGGGCCAGGGGTAGTAGCAAAATCAGAGGCAGTGGAAGGGCCAGGGGTTGAGCCAGATGCAGCCACAGGGACAGTGATTTTGAAAGCCGCAGAGGCAGCAGCTGACACAGTGTCAGTGGCAGCAGAACCAGAGGTAGACGGGGTGGCGTCGCATTCAGAAGATGGTTCTCTGGCAACCTCCAGGATGGCAGGAGGTGGTGGCGCAAGATCCATTTCCATTTCTCCCAAGCCAGTGTAGGTCTTCACCATTAGCATGAGCCTCTGTAACTCTCTGGATCCTTCCTTGATGTTGTGAGTATTTGGATTGCCGAGATGGTGCCCAATGTCGATAATAATCTGGTCACAGAGAGGCACAGGGCACAATTTTTTAACCTTCTTTTTAGGGTTGGCCATCCTTTTCTCTTTACCACGCTGCTTGTTGCCAGTGCAGACAATGTTCGACAGCTTCTCTATTGTCTTCTCTGCAAAGTCGCTGTTTTTCACGTGGACCACGAGGCGGTGACACTGGTCAATGCCATGAAAAGTGCACTTGGCTACACGGCACTGCTTTTTGGTGTGGTGAGATTTTTTTTCTCCTTTGTCAGACGAAGCAGATGACTTGGCAGAAGGGGCAGTATTGATCTTTGCAGTGACCAGAGTCGGCATTTGAGCTCTGCGCTTTTTTGGTCCAGGATTATCTTGTTGTGATTATTCAGAAGACTCATCGTCTTGTTTCTCTGGCTGGTAATCGCTGGCCTTGTCACTTTGTTCATCTGGGCAGTTTACCTGCCTTTTTCATTGCTCAATGTCTCTCTTTAGCCTCAACGAGCTGAAGATGGTCCATACTTCTTGTAGTTTCCTAGGCTACCTTGAAGAGTCCGTGTGCAAGATATCCATTAAGCAGGTTGTTGGTCTTCAGAGGTCTATCAAATAGGCAGAAGTACAAGTATAGCATGTGTAAAATTGCTGTTTGAGCAGCGGCCTTGGCAAAATATAACAAATTGGTGATTTCTTGCTGCATTGTATCTTTGGTTGTGGCGTCAGGATCAAATGCGAGCAGCACACTGTAATTAAAGCCATTCTGTACACCCAGAATTTCTAAGCCTTCCTCATTTCCATCCAATGCTTTGTAAAGTAGTTTTAGCAGGGAAGGAATACTGCACTTCATGATGATATTTTGGTAGCTTGAAATTCACCATGATAGATCAGCAACTAGCAGGTTTGTAAGACATTCTGTGCTTAACTTAAGCAAAGCTTCTGCACAAATAGCAAGAGTGCAACTTGAAAAAGTTTCCAAATATCACGAGTAGTATTATTTGATTCCTTTATTGCTTGGGCTTTCATACAATTACTAATGTATTATAACAGAGAAAATTTTTTAACCATACCGGGTGACTGTAGTTGAGAGTAAAAAAGGACCAAGATGGAAAACTTATGTCAGGTGGACAAGAACCGCAGACAAGAGGATCCCTCTTTCAGTTCTTCATTTGGTTTTCGTTACATTTGGGAAGACCTTTTCAATTACATGACCAAATGTACTTGCATCTACTGGCTTCAAATGTGAACTGTTTTCTTTCACCTGCCAACCATTTGCCAAATACCTTTTGCACAAATCTGCACAGGGTGCATAATTTTTCTCTTCTGCTTCACTGTAGTTTAAGTTGAAAAATGTTTCACTGCCTGACTGACACATACACCATCTTCATTAAAATAAGCCTTACTTCAACTTTTGAACTCACAATTCCGTTATTTTACATTTGTTTGTCAACTTGATGTTGATTCTTTCACATATCACTTGCCCTGCAGCGACGACAGCTGAATCATTTTTCAAAACATTTGTAATGATCGTCATTTCAAGAGGACACCACTGGTCCGCCATGTTGCAGCACTTTAAATGCATCACGAAACTTGCATTTTTGACTTCTGGTCTCTTTTTTACATCTTATTTCTATTCCCCCAACTGTCAGAGACATATGCTGATACATGTAGCTAGTCTGAAGTTTCATCCCTTGTCACTTTATTATCTTCAGTAGGCAATTGGCTCCTCTGATAATTTGCACATTTTCCTGCCCATCTCAGACTTCTTAAATTTCAGTTCCAGATCTCACTCCAGTAGACTGCATATTAAAAATTCAAAATGGCAACCACAAACACAAAACACATGCAATAAAGGTAGCTTGATCTTCTATTGATATTCTAAATGGATGTGTGGGCTCCCTGTGGCTACTCCAGCTCCATTAAGTGACAAATGATGCCATTGTCAAACATCCAAACAGATCCATGAATCAGCATGAATGAGAAACATTACCAGAAAGATAGTGACTCACCTCCACTTGAATGAGCTCAGCAATGACTTATTTGAATGATAAGCCATCGTGGGACTTGTGGGACTTCGCGTGACTCTTGCACCTGCTGTTCTAGCAACTCAGCATTTTTAGCTCATTCATGCACAAGCAATGAATTAGTATTGTGAGGTAGCAAAATGTCGACGGAATTCTGTGGACAGAAGTTTGTAGATGGAAACTGTGGACTGTTGACGGAAGTGAAAGTGTCCTCACCACCCCTCCCTGCTTCGGCTTAATAAAAGTCCAAGTAAACTTTGATTTTGCTGCAATAAGCAAGGGCAAAGAATTAAAACATGTTTGCATGGTGCAATAAATACATTTTAACACCAAGTTAGAATTTTGCAACCTCTGAAAATCACAATATGGATAGAGAGCCAATATGTTTAGGCCTCTAGGGGTACCCTAAACGGTTTTTGTTAAACACACTACCAAGTGCACGAGGCAGGCCATCAAGGCAGCGATCTAAGCTTCTTTGTGTTCGTATCAGTAAGTACCCAAATCATTGCATTATTATTGTGGTTTTCCTTGGGAGCTCTTCAACATACAACCCATACATCAATAATAGCAGCCAAGATAATCTCACTAAAACATTTTTGAGCTCCAGTTTTGATCGAGACTTGAGGCTCGCTCGTACAGAACTGCTTCACAATATCCTGAAAATAACTGCTCTTCTATTTGTAGTAAGAACCTCAAAACAATCTCTCATTAAAAGTTGTTTGAGATGGATACCAGTCACATTAGATCAATCATGGGTAATGTAATCAAGTTTATCAAGACGAAACTGTCCTTCTTGGCC